TCAGCACAAATAGTAGCTTTTGCAATAATCTGCCTCTCAGACACTGTTGATGGAGACCAGAGGGTTGCCCCATTGACAAGTTATCAAGTAGAATGAACATAAAGGAGAAATGAAACTAGAGCTCTAAGTTGAGAGGCAAGTCACAAGTAGTTGCTTAGGGGGAAATTGTAGATACAAAAATCGTTGATTTTACTGGCTGCATTGTTTATGCACTGTGTATGATGGAAAGGAACCATAATTCTTTTTTTCTTTTCATTGATAGAAGTCGATTACTCTTAAACAAACAAATGGGAAAATACCCTAATACAGTGGGCATCATTTTACTAAAAGGTTCATGCAGCTAAGCAGATTTAGCTCTGCTTTTAGATAAATACAGGGAAATGTTTAACCCCTATTGTATGGTCACAAAGCCTGTGCTGATCACACAGAAGCTTGGGAGGGCAGAGGACAAAGCGACGGGCTGCTGGAAACGGCTCCTCTTGTACGTGCTTCTGCACACAGTCCAGCAACAGCGGGGCTTAACAGCAGAGTTTTGTCAAGATTACAACATGAAGGGGAGCATGGTACAAATTCTTACCTCTCACTAACAAAAAGAAAGGGAAAAAAAACCAACCGAACCAAAAAGGGATGAGGACTGTGTAGTGATATGCACAAGGTAATGGCTGATTTCCTTTTTCTATTCCGATTCTTCTCAATTACTGACATAGTTGATATTTGTGTACCTTAGTATTAGTTAGTTTGATTTATTGGAATGAAGTAACACGAGGAAATGGAGTTTCTACCTCTGAAGAGGAGAATAAATGTCTTTTATGTAATTTACTAAAATATTTGACTTTGGTTAACAGTCTAGGAATTGACATCAGTGCAGTTACAACTTGAATCCATGGAGGACAGGCATGACTTTGCAACATGTTAAAGAACAGATTAAGTTTATATGCTGTTTTGATTATTATAATATGTGTGAAATTAATGCATTGTTCTTATGGATGTTAATATAATCTAGACTGGACTTCTTGCTTTAGGAAGTCTTCTTGAGGATGTGTGTATGAGAAATGAAAACCCAAACAGTTATTTTTGGTGTATTTCTAGGATATTCTTTTACATTATTACTTTGCCAGAATAGTCTGGGGTTGAGCACTATCAGGAATAACATAGGTATGACAGAAAGATGGATCGCTGTCCTCATCAACCAACAGGGTAGTTTCTGCTTTTCTGAGGGCTCTTCATCACTCCTTCCTTCTGAAAGAAGAAATGACATGAGGGTGAATAATGGAGCTCTGCAGGGTTCACTTGCATATAACTGTGCTTAAATATGCTAAATAAATTCTATATGTCAGATAGCAAATATTTTTCCACGTCCTCTGAAAATGTTTTGTATTAAATAACTTTCTTCAGTATTATAAATTAAAAGGAAACTGAATTATATATGTGTGTATATAGATATGTTATTAATTTTAAGAGAAATCTGCATATTGTCTCATTCTGTTCTTTTTAAGGTTACGTTAAGAACATTTAAGTGTTTTAACTTTTTAATTAAGATTTTTAATATGTTTTGTGTAAAGCCAATTGGCCAATCAGATTATAAAATAAAAATGGAATTTCTGTAATTTGCATTTTTTACATTTGAACTTTTGCATAGTTATGTATTACAATCTATGTATCTTTCATTTTAAATTTTATTTGTCTGAAGTCTATCAACACTATTAGTAGAAAAGTTTGTAGAGCGACAATACTACGTCATTTCTAGTTCTTTCACAAATTTTTAAATTAAGTGCACAATAAGCATAGTGTCAGATGTGGAAAAGTAAAAAGTGTGCTTTATATTTACACAATATGCTAGTGGTCAAACTCATACATGGAGAACCAGAAATTACATGACCTCAAATACTTCTAATAAATTTTAAAACATGTTTCATCTAATATAGAGACTTTTTTTAAACCATCTTTTTTGCCCTTCTCCTTGATTTTTTTGTTTTTAATTCATATTATCTCACTTATAATCTTTCTGTAAGGGTACAAATGTTCCTCTCGCTTTCAAAATCAGATATCTAGTTAGTAATTTGCATTTAGGATTGTGAATAAGGATGCAAACTTAAAACACACCTGAGATTGCTTCTTTATTTCTTTATTCCATCTGAGTTGATTTTGGGATGTTCAGGTGCTCTTCTGTACATTGTTTACAGAAGTCCTCATAGGTGTGATTTCTTTGGAGTTCTGAGCTTTTGTTAAGCTCACTTCTAAGAAATTATCAGAGAAAAGAAAGTTGCCGTGAAAGAATCTGATCATGAACTGTAAATAGGTTAAAGCCACAGATGTCGAGAAGAACTATAGCAAATATTTATTTTTGGAGCAGCATGTGTGTAGTCCAGGCATCTGAAGAGATTGATATTCTGACCATTTCTTACCCAGCAATTGAAAACAGTTTGACTGTAGTACAGGTTCTTTTCTCCCAATAAAACACTGAAAATTGTAATTCATTATAGTATGTCCCAAGCCATATATGTTATTACATAACCATGTTTACTTCAAAAGAGTAAGGGGAACCAAGTGCTGAGGGTTTTTTCCCTTCTTTTAATGAGTGTTAGAAGACTGGGAAAGGTGACCCGCAGTGTCAGCAGACGTATGGTTTTCTGCTGTATGTGAGGTCTTACACAAGCTGTCTCTGGGTTTAAGATCTTGCCTAACTTTTAGACATAGCCCTCGAGGCTACAGCTCTTCTTTACTGGTAACAACAGCAAGATAGGAAGAAATTCCTGTCATCAAGGTAGGCTAATTGGCAAGGACTGGTCTGCCTCTGTTTCAATAAGCTAGAAAATTAGCCTATTATAAAATAGACCATATTTGCCCAAATTAATCTGAATTTCATCTGAGTACTGTCATGTTCCTGCAGCCTCAATACGCTCCTAGTTAGTGCTTTTAGTTCAGAATATCTGAAATAGTGAGAGCTGTGTTGCAGCCTATCAAAGTGATGATTTTGCAGCTTAATATTGCAAATCCATGGTGCGTGCTCCAAAATGTTGCGTGAAGGCAGGTGGAGCATGCAACTGGGGATGCCGTGCCTTGCATGGGAGAACTGCGGGGCTGTGTGGAGTGGAGAATCAAAACTTAGGCGGTTTTACCCATACCGGCCTTTGGAAGGGTCCCTGGGGCTGGAGCGTTCCTTAAAGTGTGCTCTGGTTTTGTCTTGGAGACAGTGAGTTGGTGGACTGAAGCAGCCGGGAAGCATTGTGAATGTCAAGGAAGATGTAGCCACTACCTTTACGTAATAGAATATGTGTGATCATGGTTGTACTCGAGTGTTTTGGTCAATTAAGAGTTGCATGCATGTAGCAGTTCTGACTGCGAGTTCTGTGTTGACTTTGGCTCATCAAGATCCTGTTGGTTTGCAGGCAGCTGTTCCAGCTGAATATAGAGGCAGGGGGTAGGAAGGGATTTGAGTGCCTGAATAAAGATGAAGGCAGTGAAGTGAATTACCTAAGTTTAATTTCACCCCAGTGAAATAAATTATATATGCCAAACTTTCAAAGTTACAAAGATAATGTATTCTTTCCAGTGCTTTATTATGTAAAAGCAACAAGTTGATTTGAAAGAGCATGATAAAGAGCAATTTATGACAAGTGCTATTTGTTACTGGAAGAAACAGCTACAAGAGAGTTCTGGTCAACAGTTAGGGTTTTGCCAGTTGGCAGGCCGATTTAACAGTAAAAAGGCTTTAAAAAGTATACTGAAAGAAACTGTACGATTGCATTATCAATCTGGTGGGAAGTTAAACTGATCTTACTCTATCACTGTCGTAAGTTGAGGTTTTTCAGTGTCTCCTGTTTTACCTTACAAAATAGTGCTAATCTGCAGTTATGGGTAAATGATGAACTTTACTTTTCTACAGATAAAATATATGCTTTTATGCACATTATATAAAATAACAGGTGCTGCAGTGATGCTAATCTGTTGCTATTAGCTTCACTTCATCACCAGTTCACTGATATAAGGACTACATATAGTGGCAAGCATAGCTGAGTTTGCAGATAAGCAACATGTACTGTAAAATTAAAAGACCATAAGGGAAATACTCAGAAATTTTTTGAAGCTCACTTTCAAAATTCATGATCCTACTCGAACCTCACTTGCTTGAAAGTTCAACTCCACACATGCATTACCATGGAAAAATAAGCAACCTCCTCTGCAGAACCTCAAATCTGTTTAAAATAGGGGTTTCAAGTAACAAAAAGAGTTAGAGAAAAGAGGAACTGGGTGCATAACTCTTGTGAATAAATGAAGAAGGCAGCAGCTGAATTCAAAACAAAACCTCCCCCACTGTTTCCTTCTTTTTGCATTATGCTTTTATTTTGGGGGGTTGGGAAGGGGTTGCCTGTCCCATCCCTCAACCAGGTCTTAGGATATTCTCCTAGAAAGTGGGAGATCAGACAGTTTACAAATTGACTGTCAAGCCCAGATCTCTCTCTTTCTGGGCAAGTACTGTGACCAAAGGTGTTTCCTGCAGTAGAAGCTTGCTGTCAGCCCCTGCAACCTCTTTCAGCAGATGTCTTTTTAGAAGCCTGGGCATCTGTATCCCAATGAGAACTGAAGTGTTTGGTCCTGAGGAGGCAGAGGTACCTGGTGGGCCTTAAGTTAGGTTACTGAATGTTAGAAAGATGTGGTTAGACTTTCCAACTGAGTGTTTTTCACTGATGATACAGCAAACCTGGATAACTATGTGAGTGGTCTGATCTGACGTGACAGACAATATTGTTTTGGAGACCTAAATGCAAAACATGATTTTGAAACCTAGGGAGCTTCTTTCGTTCCTTACGCTTATATTTTTCTTCAGCCCAACATATATAAATTAGTTCCTATTAAAATACCATTCCACTTGATTTAACTGGCATTATTAATTAGCATTGCAGCTAGATCAAGAAATATGTGATTTATGTGTTGTAGGTTAACAGTGAATGTATTTATTTGCCTCTATAAATATTTCAGGTTGTATAATATCTTTTCAGGCAAGGCAGTAACATAAAGACCTGTCATACAGGGGTTAAGGAAGAAGGAAAAGTAAAGAGATAGACCATCTTGCTCTGAAGCTATTTATACCAAGGTAAGATAATTTTTTTTCCCTCTAAATTTTATTTTCCCATGCTAACTAGGGAAGAAAAAAAGCTACTGGCATTAAGTTTCTATCTTTCTATTCAGTTTCTATTAAGTACTATCAGGGTAATCATATAATATGTTCTGCATTTACCTGCATTTCCATTTTTGTTTGACTTAGCAGTTTGTGATTAATACAATTTTTAAAATGGCAGCTCAGCTTTCAACTGAAGGGCTCATATCAAATATGTTAACTAGAAAAACAGCTAAAAGTATTTCATAGCTTCACATAACTGAAGGTAGGCTTAATCATCTCTGATGTTCCTTGCTGGAGAGAACAAGGGGACAAGTCCGCTAGTAAAAAAAGTGTGTTTGGAAAAATGGACTTAGAAGGAACTCGAAATATTTTGGTACCAAAAGAATAGAAGTTTTTTCTTCTATCATAGATGACAGATTTGGTGATGGTGACATTCAGAAATCTTCTCTCTCACAGTTTAGGTCCTAAGGTTAAAATGCCTGTTTTGGAAGTTTTGAAGTAAGCTTTGATTTTTCTTTTTTCATCCCTCCTCCTCCAACCCGTCCCTGCTCTTGTATTTGAACTGCATAAATCTTTCAGCATAAGAACAGAGATGGCCTTACTTGAAGTCAGTATTAGCTGCTGAATAGTCATCTGTGTTTTAATATCTGATTTTTTTTTTTAATGAAAAATCTGATTTGGGGGTCTTGAATACGGTATTGTATATAGTCTAGTAGAACAGACCTTTTCTATCTTTTTATAGTGTGTAGGCGTGGATAGCTGCACAGTGTTTTATTGCTCATTTATGTGTTCCAGAAGACAGCGCATCTGAAAGCATCAATAATATTTTTAAAACAGGGAAGGGACAAGATGGGCACTGAAATGTTTTGACTTCTGAACTATATGCTGGTGGTGTTACTAAAAGTAACACTCAGTGCATCCTCTGCCTGCAAAGAAGATTTTGTTTTTTTTAATCTTTCAGGGATCTCTTCTGAAATGGTTCTTGTGTTAGTCACTCAAGAGTTAAATGTAGCTTTGGATAAAGAGGACTGTTACTGTAAGGTTTTTAAACTAGACTGCGCTGAAAAAAAGATAACCATTGAAGACTCTGAAAGGCTTTTTGGATGGTAACCAAGTTAAGGAAGCTCTGAGGTTCTTTGGCTGTGCTGCTGGTTGCTCTTGCTCACCAGGATCCTGGCACCCTACCACTGTGCCCTCATTGCCTCCGTAGCTGCAGTTGTTCTGTCAGGGAATGCCACCGTACAATAGGTCCCCTGGGGCTACTTGGATGAGTGACAACCAGCCAGCTCCAAATTGACAAGTGTTTGAATGTCTAATTGGGTCAGTGCACAGGTGCCTGCTCCTCACGAGTGAGATGTTCTAGCTTTGCTCTGTGATGTTCTCTTGGTTCTTCTCATTTTTCCTACAAGCTGTAAAACCAAACTGTCGAGACGTTGATGTGAGAGAGCAGGCATTACGGAAGAAGAAGGTGTGTTTTGATTACACTAGCTTTACTGCTTGAGTGCTGACTGGAGGGGAGGCAAAGAAATCCATTAAAATGGGCATTGTAATAGAAAATAAAGTGATTTATTTGGTGAAAACAAATACATTGTCTTAATCTCTATGTTAGCTGGTTCTCATACTAGTTAGACCTAGAGGCTTGGGCATCAGGAAGTGTATGGTAGAGAAAAAGAACTTGTTTTCTTGTATCTGCACAATGAGGCATTTCCTAAATCTAAACAGCTTTCCTTCATAGCATGCAGTCAGATATAGGCAACTGGTGTGCAAGGGAACCTTTTTATCTTACTGAAAGCTTGGTCTGTGCAGAGAAAACAACTGACATTAAGTCCATAGTCCATATTACTCAAATGTAGTTGCTCTCCTTTTGTCTCTTCCTCAAAGAACCATAGAATACCTTGGGTTGGAAAGGGGGTCTGGAGATCTAGTCCAACACCCCACCTGCTCAAAGCAGGGTCAGCTGGAGCAGCTTGCTGTTCAGACAACTGATACAAGTGCTTGACTACCCTTACAGCAGAAAAGTGCTTTCTTTTGTTCAGATGGAATTTCATCTGTTTTTGTTTGTGCCCGTTGCCTCTTGCCCTGTCGTGGGGCACCACCAAGAAGTGGTGTTTACCCCTGCCCCCATTGGGTATTTATATACATTGATAAGATCTCCCTGAGCCTTTTCTTCCCCAGGCTAGAGTCCCAGCTCCTTCAGCCTCACCACATATGTCAGATGCTCCAATCCCCTAATCATCTTCGCAGTCCATCACTAGACTCACTGTAGGATGCTTCTCTAATGCCCACAAGTGCATGCAGCACTCCAGACATGTCTTAGCAGTGCTGAGTAGAGGGGAAGGATCATCTCCCCTCACCTGCTGGCAACATTTTTCCTAACTCAAGCCAAGATGCTATTTGCCTTCCTTTCTGCAAGGGTGCACTGCTGGCTCATGGTCTATTTGGAGTCCACCAGGACCCCTAGGTGTTTTCTGCAGAGCTGCTTTCCAGCTGGTCATCTCCCATCTTGTACTGGTGCCTGGAATTATTCCTTCCCAGGTGCAGGATTTTTTATTTCCTTTTGTTGAACTTCATGAGATTCCTGTTGGCTTATTGCTCAGCTTTTTGAGGTCTCTCTGAATGCCAGTGCAACCAGCTGGTGTTCACAAACTCCTCCCAGTTTGTGTCATCAGCAGACTTGCTGAGGGTGCAGTCTTTCCCATCGTACAGGTCATTAAACAAGTGGTTAAATGGTACTGGCCCTGGCATTGATGCCTGGGGTACACTAGCAGTGACTTTCCTCCGGCTCGATTTCGTGCTGATCACAACCATTTGAGCTCGACAGTTCAGCCAGATTTCAGCCCATCTCACTGTCCATTTGTCTAGTCAGTTCGGATGACAGTGTCAAAAGCCTTGAAAAAGTCAAGATAAACAACATCTGCTGCGCTCCTGTCATCCACCGAGCCAGCCATTAGCTGGTCTGTTCTGCTTGGAGTGTCAATCCCAGCAGGTGCTGCTGTCAGGGTTGCTCCATGGAATCAGTGTCTCCCCAATTCAAGGTTTGTTTAAAAGAATATTGTCAGTTTTGCTTTGGCTGACTTGCATGTGTTTCTAAAATAATGCTTTTTTAATGGTGTGTATTTAAAGGTGTGAAGAGTAGTCATTAAACGCTGTCAGGTTCCAGAGTATTCTAAAGTGGGGTGAAGTCATCAACATAGCTATTGTCAACATTGTTTATATAGCAACTGTTTATGTTTCTACCTTGCTACCCTGGCTAATAAAAAGACCTGCTGCCAGAGGTGAAAAATAAAGACAAAAAAAAGTTTGACACAGTGTCTTACAGCTGTTTGCTATAAGAAAACAGACTGAAGAAAGGAAGCTTTTAATTGGTAGGAATCTGAGAAATTATTTGTAATAATAAGAGTCACAGAAGTACAATTTTTCAAATTTACATTATTCCTTGTAAAACTTTGTGAAAAATGTCCTCATTCTAACAGGACTGGCATATCATCTAGTTAAATTTAGGAAACTTGACAGGAGAAATCATCTGGAAAAGAGAAGCATATTTCAGTAATGCATAGTTTCTTTACACTAGCAAAGAGAAGATGAAAAGTGTTTCTTATTCAAGAATGTAAGTGTAAGTATTTTTAAGTGACCGATTTTCCCTCTAGAAATCAGAGATATTTTTAATGGATTGGAAAATGGAGGGCTATAGAAAGGGAATGCTGCTAGGTTTTTTTTGTGGAAAAGCATGAGTGAGTGTAAGTTAAAAACATCTCCCACAGTTTTATTTAGTGATAATAATCTGATGTGTTTCATAAATTCATTTACAGATAAACAGTTTTGAACAGAAGTAGTTGTAACTTATTTAGGGATCCCAGCCACTCTAGGTCATCTAGAGCCTGCCCAAATGTAGTAAGTGTATGATTTCTAGGATAATTGTAGTGTTCATGTAAAATGTTAGGTTTTGCCCAGCTTTTTTTCTTACTTTACAATCTCTAATTTCTTCATATGTAAAATATGTAAATGTAAATTTCATTGTATGTAAATTTAAGATTGTAAATATTAAAAGGACCTCCTTCCTCAGATGTTCCTTTTTTAGCTCTTCTGCAGCGTGTTTTTTCAATCTGCTAAAAAAAGACACCATGTAAGGAAAATACATAATCTTCAGTTGCTCAGTTACTGATGTATTTTCACAAGAACTCTTGGTGATGACTTAGGATATGTCATGCATGCTACATGCGTGATTGCAAATTCGAGTTGGTTCCTGTGGTAATCATGAGTACAACCAAAAATACCGTAAATGAAAATTTTATAACTTTTTTTTAACATAATTGGGGGGGGGGGAGAGAAAGGAAGGAAGGAAGGAAGGAAAAGAAACATTAAACGAGTCTTTGTTCTGTTTTTTCTGCGTCTTTGAAAGCTTTCTGAGATTTCAACTTCCTGCAAGAGAAGCAATGGTGAAAGATCTTGGGGATATATTTGAGTGCCATATTTTTGCTCCTTGCTGCTTATGCATTTACTAGTATCCCAACTGACTGTGAAACATAGAAGGCAGCAACCGCAAATATTAAGACGTTAATTTATTCCACCTCATTTTAGGTGCTTGGATACCTCAGTTAAATTAACAGCATAGTTGTTTAATGAGTGGGAATTGATCCAGTTATGGGGGAACACAGTTTTTGATAGGCAATTTTAATTGTTTTTAAATTTACCTCCCCTGCCTACCTATATGTCCATTCAAACATGTGCAAGCACAAAAAAGAGTTGGTGTTAAGTGCTAACAAGGAGCAGGGAAGGCAGTAGTAAGTAGAAATGGGGGTGAATAGGAGGTCAGTGAGCTGCTGCAGAAATATTTGTTTGGGGAACTTCAACCTATGAGTTTCACTGCTTCTTTCAGCTGTTCTTTTTTTCTGATTCTTTTAACCAAGTTAGGATTATTATACCTCCTTTGAAACTGTTGTTGCACCCATTCACACTGTTGTCCATTTTTAAAT